ATGGCATGATATCGAGGTCCTTCAACACCCTGGTTGCCCTCCCCAGAATGCTCAAATTGATCAATTTCCTTCCTAATAAAGGCAGTCAGACCTGAAAACAATACTCTAGAAATGATGTGACCAGAAAGGAATACAGTAGGGCTATCACCAACTTATTCTTGAACAATGTATCTTTCAGGGTATCACTGACTCATATTAGCTTTCATCTTATATTGAGCTTTCAGTCCAGTAAAAACCACTAATGTCTTTCAGATCAACTGCATGACCAGATGAACCTCCTCCATCTTGAACTTGTGATGGTAAATGTTTAAAGCCAAATAGAAGACATTTAACCCTCTTCAGATTCACCTCATTAGATTCATTCCAATGTTCTAAGAGCCTGTCAGGATATTTTCATATCCTAATTGCCAACTAACGTGTTAACTAGTCCTCTCTGGCTTTGTCATTACCTATCTGATAAGCATGCCACCTATCCCTTTATTCAAATCATTGATAACCCTTATAAACAGTAGTCCCCATCCCTTCCAAAAGTTTTAGGACTTGCAGTTTTTCACAAAAGAGTCAGACAGGCCAGTAAAGCAACAGGCCTTTATTATGGCACATTTTTTAACACACAAATGAAGGCCCAAGGCCTTAAGCCAAACACCCTGGGTCAGAGGCTTGGAGAAACACTGGGCAAGGGGGTGGGGTAGGGTGGTAGGGGCTCCAGGGCAAAGGATATATCTAGATCTCAGTGGCCAGAACCTAATGTGATGGTCTTCAGGGGCCACAGCAGGAAGAATTAAGTGTGTGGGGAGTGAAAGGGATGCAGTCACTGATGATGTTTTCGTGAAGTTGCCACCAAGCTTTCTTCTTCTCTTCCTAGTCGATGTGTGGGATGGCTGAGTTCTTCCTCTCTTCCACATACCAAAGCAATTCTGGATTTTACAAGGAGGGGTCACAGGATCTTAGAATTATAGAATGGGAAAGTGAAGGGACCTTAAAGGTCACATAGTCCAACCTCCCCATGTCATAGATGATGAAAATGAGTTCTGGAAAGGTTAAGTGACGAGATAATGAATATCAAGTACTTAAAGAGAAATATAAATGTGAGTTTTATTATTGCCCAAAGTAAGAGCGGTAGAACTAGGATTCAAACTCAAGCCCTCTAACTACAAATCTGATGGACTCCCCAGCTCGGATATCATAGGCTCAGAGACACTTGTGATTAACATAGCAAACCTAGAAAGCTTTCTAGAAAAGGCAAAAGGAGAGAATATGTCAAGAACAGAGGCAGCCTGCCACCAGTGAATCTTGTGGATCTCAGAGGCTTTGGGATTGTCAGAAAAGCAGAGGGCCAAAGACAAACCCCTGGGGCACTCTACTGGAAACCACCTTGTAACTGACTAGCAAACCTTGCGCATGGCCACTGAATCAGTTCTCAGTACACTTTGCTATATTAACATCCAGCCCATATCATTCCATTCTGTCCAAAACAGCATGAAAGATGTGGCTAAAATCTGGAAAAATATCTACAGTATTTCCCTTCATCTACTGATCTAATTACCTTGAGGTTAATTGGGAATACCCTGTTCTTGAGGAAGCCACTCTGACTCCCTAAGATGTTCACTAACAATTCCTTTAATGTGTTCTAGGATTTCGTCAGAAACCTAAGTCAAGCCAACAGGTCCACAGCTGCAGACTCCTCTTTTTTCTCTTCTTTTTTAAAAACTTGGACAGCATTTGTATCTCTTCATTTACCATCATTTATCAAAGATCACAGACTGATTTAACAATCACATCCAAAAGTTTTGTTTTGTCTAGTATCCAGGGAAGTAGTTTGTGTAGAATGTGTAACTTGAACTCATGAGGAGCAGAATGTGCTCTCCTCCTATCTATCTCTACACTTCTCTCACCTTTGCATCGCACTTCTACCTGTCATTTTCAGCATTCGTTTGAAGCTGCTCGCCAGCAAAGCCTCTGCCATCTCTCTGGATCTCCATACCAGCGGTTTTGTTGCTACGTGTAATCCCTGGAACAACGAAGATCACAGTCCCTCTGTGACTTAGGAGATGGTCTTTGTATCGCCCTTCAAAATGACTGAAAATTTTATCAACATGATGTGCAGCCTCTCAGAAATTAGTTAAACTGGTCTTTGGATAACAGATATATGGTCTGTCATCTGTCTTGTACTCCAAGCCTTTCCACCTTGGTAGATCCCTGTCAAAGCCTGGAGTTGAACTGTCATCGTCTTTGAGACTTTCCATGCCATAAAGAAGCATTAAGGTAGAGTTTCAGGGAAAGTGAGACACTTATTTATTGAGTAAATGAATCTCTTCAGGCTGCTCCAAGGCCCTTCTTATTTATCTTTTGAGTTCGGAACTGTGTTCTACATAGCTGAGAATGCTAGATCAGCCAAAACGGTACCTGTATGTCTGACCTCTAACCCAGGATTCCTTCCAATACCCCACCAAACAAAATGTGCATTAACATGAAGGGGAAGTAAAAGAAAAAGGTGGCCACTTAGGAACAGAAGCTCCATTATTGGTAAAAAAACCACAGAAGAGATTTCCAAGGCCCTCTTCTCTCCATGAGTACCTTGAAGTCGGAAAACCCTTTTCTTCTTAATGAGCAAAGTGGCTGCTTCCTTTTATGTTCTCACTGTCCCCTCTATTTTATCTCTACTTAAATATTATTTCATTAGCTTCCACTTGAAGGCTCAATGCACTAGCTACATTTTTGTGAAGAAAGGGGAATGGATTTAATTTAAAAGGATACACACAGAACTGTTTCAGTTTTAAAAACATAATTTCCAAAGAAAACTCTCTCCCTCTAACACGGCCCAACAAAAATTAACCAAGGTCAACAGGGTTTAAAAGAAGACTCACAGATGACTTTATTTGATAATGGTAAATGGTTTCTTGATGACATTTTAACAAACTAAATTTCCTAAAAGAAATATTGCATCTCAGTACATTTTGCTAAGCTTCTGCTATGTTCATGATTAATGTGTTAAATAAAAATGCTGCTTTTTCTATGATTCACTCAACTAATGCACTCAGTAATGGAAAATTAATTCCAGAAAGTTCTTTCATAAGTGTTATATTCAAAATAAAGTCAAATCATTCCAATTAAATTACAAACCTAACTTTACTTTTAAATATTAACATGTAAGCCCCACTTTACTAGTGCTCATTTGAGCTCTTTTTGACCAATGCTACTTCTGTAGCATCTAATAAATAGCAAATTCCTACAGCCTAAAAGAAATCAGTGTCCCTAATAGAATCTAAATCTGTATTATTAAGAGAAACCTTAAAATGCATGGCTGTATGTGGAATTTAAAAGTATGTCAAATAAGTTCTTCTCATACATGCAGGAATAGCATTTTCTCATTACACCAGACTCTTCTGGCAGTAGTGTTTCATATCAATTATGGCACTTTCTCACCACCAGAGTTCAATTACCACAGATTCAACACAGGATAAGTTCCACACTTTCAATTACATCATTACACAAAATGTTTATTCCAAGAATTAGCATTAGCTAATTACAAGAATTAGTGAGTCGAAGGTGTTAACCTGAAACAAGTGAACAAAAATCTCATAATGATTTCAGTAACTTAAAAAAAAATCCACTAAAATCTTGAGTATTGAGATTTTAAAAAGAAATAATACCGCGCACTAAATTGGATTTGTTTTCATTTTTCAGGACAGACTAAGGCCTAGTCTAGTCCTTGGGTACCACCTTTTGACTGAGTCCCAGTTTTACAGAACAAATCCTTTTATTAAGGGGATTTGTGCTGTGAAGTTTGGATTCAGTCAAAGGACAGCACCTGATGGCCCAGAGGCCACAGGTTCCCCACCCCTGGACTAGCCAGAATGAAAGGGGAATTTTAGAAGAGTTTCCTTTTTTTTTTTTTTTATCCCTTTTCTTCATCCTCTCCAAAATGAAAAGCAATTATACTTTGCTTGCATCTAACATCTATTCACTGGCGAGATATGCCTTTCCAGTTATGTATAACTGCAGTAACAAAGTTTTCTTCTTAAAGAAATGCGGGATTTGAAACCTTCATTCACTCCAACTCTTAAAATATCGTGACTACTGCTGGTTGTTGGCCACTAACCTGTGAAAGATTTGCAAAATGGCCAGAATCAAGGAAAATGAAGCGTCCCAGGAGTTTCTAGGCATCTTGGGCATGGGGTAGTCCCATCCAGCAGACCATTCATAGGTCCTATGACAAAATTAACACACTTGTATTTTTAAAGGAAAGAAAGCATCAGTTGTCCCCTGCCACAACAAAAGTTCTGCATTCTCTTCCTCAACGAGCATCCCACGTGATGCGTGAAATAATATAACACCAAGTTAAGGCAGACAAATCAGAGTTCAGGACTGCCCATCACTCAAACTTCTTCTCAGAAAATTTGGCAGTGGGCAGGCCGGCGGGAAAGTAAAATGTTTTCTTGTAGTTACTATTCTGGGACAGAAGGAAAAGTGACCCTCAAGTAAAAAGGCCGGGATTGTCTACAACCACCCCGTTTACTCCTCACTCCGGACCCCGGCATTTCGCCTCCAACAGGCACCGAAGCCCGAACGGCTCCCTAGCCCCCGCAGTTGGCAATTTGCGGCAGCACAAAGCAGCTCTTGAGCTCCTGCTTAGAGGAATCGAGTACCTGAGAATTTCAGGAGTGGCGAGAGAGCCAGAAACAGTGGGCAAGGTCATTTGGAAGGCAGCCTACGAGAGGAGCCCTAGAAGATCCTCTCAAAAGAGCCCTCTAGCCCAGGCCAGCCCCGACGCCCCAGCACCCCCCACCGGAGTCCGGAATGACACCATCCCGGGTTCGGACTTCCGACTCGAGCTGGGCTCACAGTGCAGTTAACCCAGCCCTGCCTCGGAGCGCCAAGGACTGGCGCCGACACGGGCAGCCCCGGAGGAGCCCCGAACACCCTGCCCGGGCACCAAGGCCCGCCGCCCGTCCAGAAGTCACGGCCCGCCCGAGGTCAAGTCCTGAAGCCTTACGTACCGGTCCCTATCACCACCACATCGAACTCCGAAGGGACTTTGTCTGCCATCTTGAGAGGGGAAGAGTCACGTGACGGGACCTGCCGGAAATGGCTCTCGAGTCTTCGTCCGCAGCCGGAGCCGGGAGCGCAATGCATTCTGGGGGCTGTAGTTCCTGGTTGGAACGAAGACGAGCTGGTGTGTGGGGAGACAATATTTGAACCCAGCTCTTCGTCGCTGCAAGCCATGGAGCTAGGTGGTGCATTGGAGAGCGCGGTGGACCTCGAAACAGGAAGAACGAAGTTCAGATTCAGCCTCAGACTCTGGCTAGCCGTGTGACCCTGGGTAAATCACTTAACCTCTGTTTGCTTTACTTTCTCCAACTGTAAAATGGTAATAATAACAGCACCTGTCTCCCAGGGTGGCTGTGAAAACCGCAGGAGATAATATTAATGTAGGACTGTTGCTTAAATATACCAAAATCATAATATGATGTAGTGGGAAAAGATTGTATTTGTATAGTAGCTCTGCACTATGCCTGGAAGGAATACTGAGCAAAGGCAAGGTCCAATAGTGATTACAATATATTTAGCAGGTAATAAGAGAGTGTTAGAGGGTAGCCTGCAAGCAACCTCCTTGATCATACACCTCTCCTTTTTTTTTCTTACAGATGAGGAAACTGAGTAACAGAGCAGAGACTAGAATCTAGGCCAGCCCCTGGGTAATGTCTTTTTCCACTACCAAGTACCTCAGATTTTAATTCTCCAGACTTAGGTCTGGTTGGTATTGTGATGCAGAAGAATCTGAAAATCAAAAAATATGGGTTTGACAAACATATGGTGAGTTGGTGCCATCCCTGGTGTACAGAATCCATAGTGGAGAAAATGGATTGTAAATTGATGTGATCTTTGCAAATGATTGGGTGTGCCAAGCCCTGAAGCATTATAAATCCATTTTATAGATGAGGAAACTGGATTTGAGAGATTAAGTGATTTACTCATGGTTACACAGCTAATGAATATCTAAAGTGGATTTCGAACAAGTCTTCCTGACTCCAGATTCAGCAGATGGGGAAACTGAAGCTCAGTTAGGTTAAGTGACTTCCCAGAAAGTATACAGCTGCTAAGTGTCTGAAGCAGAAATGAATCTAAAGTGAGGAAATGGACTAAGGAAGGTTAAGAGATTTGCCACAGTCACTGAACTAGGAGAGGAATTAAATCCCAAGTCTGCCTGACTTCTGAGTCTAGACCTCTGTCTGCTCATGCTACATTACCCCTAAAATAGAGAATCCCAGAGGCGATAACAAGGAGTCTGTCACATTACTGGAGAACAACTTCTCCACTTCCCCAGAACTCCTGTACATTCATCTTGGCCTTAACCCTCCAGTTCCCACATGAACATTCCTACACCCTATTCCCCATTCTACTTGAATCCAGAACAAAGTGTGCTTCCTCCTCCTGCTCCATCAATCAAGCCAGTTTCCCATGAATGTATTATTTGGCATGCCTTCATTTGTACTGGCAGTCCCAGAAAACAATCTGGTAAGATAGGTTGGTAACAGTCATCTTGTTTGCGGAAAAAAAGAAAGGCTCTGTGAATTGCTACAAAATGAATGAGAAGCAGAGATTTGCCTCCATGAATAGCACTAGCTGCACCACTGAGCCAAAGTACCACTGGGTGATTGCTTTGATTGAGGTCAGATGGCCTTACTAAAGCTACTGTCTCTGATGAAGAGCCATACTGCTAGCCAGCTAATAGAGCATTCAGAGGCATTGCAAGGGCTGCCTCTAAGTTACTTAACATTTATCCTATAGCTCAGTGACATGAAAAACCAGCGAAAGTGAACATGGAAAAAAAAACCACGACACTTTTTTTTGCCAGTCCTTGAAATTATTTGTGCAACCTAAACAAAAAAAAACTCAGACTTCTTCTTTGGTATGAAGAGAGGGCCAAAAATTTTTACACAAATTTTCCAGATCATGGGGGCACCACATCCCTAACCCCCACAATGTGGAAGTGATAACTATATGTCTTTATTTTCACTTAACTCTGTCTGCAACTCAGCATTTCCTTCAATTATGATTTTTTTAAAAATCATTCTGAAAAGGTTCTCACAGACAGCCAAAGGAGTCCATCACACACACACACACACACACACACACACACACACACACACACACACAGTTAAAAACTCCTCAAATGGAAGGAGAAGAGGTCCCAGGATAGATACTTAGAAAGGACATGACCTAGACAAAGATCCAGCAAAAGAGACTGAGAAACAGTGATCATACAGATAGCAGGAGAACCAGAAGAGAGCAGTATCTCAAAAGGAAGGAAGGGAACAAGAATTTATTAAGTGCCTACTACGTGCTATTCACAGTGATTAAACACATTACAAATATGTCTTCTGATCCTCACAACAACCCTAGGGGTTAGATACTTTTACTATCCCCATTTTATATTTGAGGACACTGAGGCAGAGGAAGGTTAAGTGATTTTGCCCAGAGTCACACATCTTGTACGTGTCTGAGCTCAGATGTGGACTGGGGTCTTCCCGACTCCAAGTCCAACACTTTAATTACTATGCCATCTTGCTGTCTCAAAAACCTAGAGAGGAAGAGATATCCAAAAGGAAAGGGTGATCAATAGTGTCAAAGGCCAAAGAAAGGTCAAGGAGAATGAAGATCAAGAAAAAAACATTAGACTTGGCAAATTAAGAAACTTTTGGTGACTTTGGAGAGAGCAGTTTGAATTGAATGATGACATCAGAAACTAGGTTGCACAGAGTTTAGTATCAAGTGAGAAGAGAGGAGGTGGAGGTACCCATTGTAGATGGCATTGTCAAGAAATTAACCTGAGAAAGGAAAAAAGAGATAGAGGAAGATAGCTAGCAGGGATGGTAGGATAATAGTGAGGTGGTTGTTGTTGTTATTGTTGGGTTTTGTTTTTGTTTTTAAGCATGGGAGAGAGATTGTCATGTTTTGTAGGGAGCACGGAATGAGCCAGTAGATAAGGAGAGAATGAAGATGATAAAGGATGCAATTTCCTGAAGAAGACTGGATGGAATGGGATCAAGGATGCAGGCAGTGGGGTTTTGCTTAGCATGAAAAGCCACTTCTAGAGATGGGTGAAGGAAGAAAATGGGACAAGAGATCTGAGTGACACGAGATAAAAAAGATGGGAGAAGAGGGAGCTCTTGACAAATGGATTCAATTTTTTTTTTTTGAGGAAAGGACCCACATATACAAAAATATTTATAGCAGCTCTTCTTGTGGTGGCAAAGAATTAGAAATTGTGGGGATGCCCATCAATTGGAGAATGGCTGAACAAGCTGTGGTAAATGAATGTAATGGAATATTGTGGTATAAGAAATGATGAACAGGCTGACTTCAGAAAAACCTGGAAGGACTTGTATGGTCTGATGCTGAGTGAAGTGAGCAGAACCAGGAGAACATCGTACATAGTAATAACCACGTTGTGCGATGACTAACTTTGATAGACTTAGCCCTTCTCAGCAATACAAGAATCTAAGACACCTCCACTGGTCTTATGATGGAAAATGCTGTCCACATCCAGAAAAGGAGCTATGGAGTCTGAATGTAGATCGAAGCACATTATTTGATATCTCTAATTTTTTTGTTGTTGTTGTATTTTGTTTCTTCTTTCTCGTGGTTCCTCCTATTAGTTCAAATTCTTCTTTACATCATGACTAATGTGAAAACATGTTTAATATGAATGTATGTAGAGCCTATATCAGATTGCATGCCATCTTAGAGAGGGAGAGGAGAGGAAGGGGGAGAAAATATAAAACTCAAAATCTTATGGAAGTGAATGTTGAAAACTAAAAATAAATTCTTAAAAAAATTTTCTGGGAAAAATGAACCAAGGTTCTCAGCTGAGACAGTTTGGGAAAGGGAGCTATGGGAAGCTTGAGGAGGGAAGAAAAGGATTGGAAATGCCTCTGTGGTGACTAAGATAGTGAATCAGTTAGGAAGGTCTAACTACCATGTATTCAGCTCCTTTGTATGTATTTCTATTTGTTCATTTTTGTGTGTGCTATATATATTTCTACACGTACTTATTGTCTCCCTTTTGGAGAGAAGAGATTGTTTCAGTCTTGGTACTTATGCCTAGCCCAGTGCCTGGCACGTAATGGGTGCATAATAAATACTTGTTGATTGTTGAATTTAAGCAAATAATGACCTGTTCTGCTAGAAGGGCGCAGTGACAAAGATCATCCAACATAATTTCTCCTTGGCTTTGTAATGCATTTTTGTACTTTGGGATATAGCTGTAATCTGATGTTCTGAGAGTTCAGAACACTTCCAACAAATGAAGCTGTGCTGTAAAGACCTGGAAGACCTGGAATGTTGTCTAATTTCCCAGCATGCCTTTGGCCTCAATTCAGAATTGAGGGACTGGACAGCATGACTTCTCAAATTGATACAGAGCTTAGCTGTCCTATCTCTAAACTTGATATTTGTATGATTCACACTGTCTCTGGGGATAACATTGTTCTGATTGTTAAAACAAAGCCCACATACTGGGCAGAACCTCAAGCCACCTTCCAAGCTTGTGTTCCTCAGATTCACAGTGAATAAAAGTACACAAGGTGGAGAATGATGTCAAGAGAACATAAGGCAAAGCAGAGCTCTTGACTGCCCCTTTTCCTATTCTAACAACCTATTTTTCAAGAACTAAAATATTTGCTTTGGATCAGCCACAAAACTGTGGGATTTTGAATGTGAGTTGCCAGTATTGTTAAATCATGGGGTCACTAGCTATATACAAAATAATTTCCTACAGATGCAAAAATAACACGCTTTTTCAAATGTCTAAGTTGAACTCAGGAAGTTCATTCACCTTCAAGGTCTTTTGTGTAGGTTGTAGATTTAGGCCCAAAAAAGCAATATGGGGACAGTGGCTACAAAGTCAGCCTTGAAGTCAAGAGGTCAGAGTTCAGATCCTACCTCTGTTATATACTAGCTATGAAGCCATGGGCAAATCTCTTCACCTCTAATGCCTTAAGGAATTCTCCAGTGCCATGAGTTACAGACCATTAGCTGACTTTCATCAAGTGGAGGAAGTTCCTACACTGGGAGTTCCCAGTGTGGATGAAATCACAGGCCTAAACCAAAAAAAAAAAAAACCCACCAAGAAGAGGTCTCACATGTAGTAAGAAAGCATATGAAGCCTGCAGAAAACAACTGTTATAACATTTCCTACAATTATGAACGGGAGGAAATTGGCTGCTTCCCCTCTGCCTATAAACATGTTCACATGTCCCCTTTCCTAAATAAATCTTCCCTATTAACCCCTTGAGCTATCCTTCCATCTGTCTCTTTACTTGCACTGCCAAATTTTTATAAAAGGTGGTTTATGCTTGCTGCCTCTACTTCCTCATGAACTACTCACTCCCAACTCCTTGTGGGGTCTATAGCAGAGTGTCCCAGAGGTCAGTGCTTGGCCTTGTGATGTTTAACATTTTTTTTCAATGACTTGCATAAAGGGAAAGATGGCGAGTTTGTCAGATCAGCAGATGACATGAAACCAGGAAGCCTAGCTAACGTACTGGATGACAGAATCAGGATGCAAAAAGAGCTTAATAAGCAGAAATATTGGGTTGACTCTAATAAGATAAAATTGATCAGGATAAATGTAAAGTCTTAAATTTGGGTTCTAAAAACCTGCTTTACAAGCACAAGATATGGCAGGTATAGACAACTAGCAGTTGGTAAGGACATTGGAGTCATTTCATTCAACCTGTAGATGAATAAGTTTCCCCTCAATATAAAAGATACCCGATAAGAAGTCATCTGATCTTTGCTTAAAGGTGGGC